ACCTTATCAAAAAAATCCGACGAAGAAATTTGAGAGAAACCAATAAGTGGTATACAACTAGCGATTGTCTTACCCAATGCATCAAAATCGTCAGTAGTCCAAGTTGAAATTTTAGCAATATCTAAAGGAGGATTTTGAGCGACACCCCATCTAACGATGTAATCCCAAATTTCAACTTCTTCAATTTGTAAATTATCAAGCTTTAGGAAAGGTACAAGTAATGAAGAATCCATAGACAAAAATTTATTAGATTCAAAAAGGTAGAGAGGATTTTTACAAATAATCTGAAGACAGTACTCTTGAAGTTTGCGACAAGATTCAATAAGATGAACTTTCTGCCAAAGCACAATAAGATTATTCTGAAGCCAAGTATTTTGTTGATGAAGAAGATAATCTTGTACATGATCTGATAATTCGGTTAATAATAATTCATCAGTGGCAACCAAGAGATCAAGAGCATCCATCACAGATTTGTCAGTCATAGAAACGGTTCCGCTATAAATAAACCTATGATTAAATAATTTTTTAGTTATGAATAATTGTAGAATATATATATATATATATATATGCATATAGTAATAAAAATAAAAATAAAAATAAAAATAATCAAATTATTTTATAATATGTACTTACTGAAGAATAATATCGAAAACTTTTGGAGAAATGTTTGGTTTTGAAAAAGTCATAAAATCACCATCTTTTTTTGCCCAATTTTTCGAAAGAGCACTTCGAAAATAAGGAGACCTAGCCCTTAATATGATCGAGTGAGCATGAAATATTTGAAAATTTGGAGACTGACCAACTTCTATTATAACATTATATTCATCTAAATCATCATTCAATAAGTTTCCAATATCTCGAGCCAAAGTTCCTAAAAATTTAGGTGACATCTTTACTTTTTTTTTATATATAAAAAATGTACGATTGTTTTATTATATTAAAAAGAAAAAAAACAGTAAAATTAAACTTTTCGATTATACGTAGTAAAAGGCACAATATTTATATATATACTTTTCAACTGATTTACAACTTACAGCCACATGATTATTTTAAGTTAAATCGGGTTTTATAATATTATTTATATTATTAATATTACAATATAATATTAATAATCGAAATTTATGACAATATTTATGATTGGTGAAGTAGTTTCTGTATTGTTATTCAAAAAAAAAAAAAAAAAAAACAAGTTTGCATGGGAGTTACATGAACATTTTACCAAATAAATTTGATTAATTAGTCACAATTTTATATATCGATATAAAAAAGAAATGTTTGAAAAAGATACGTAATCATGAGTATTAGTATTCATACAGTTTCATAAATGATTATTTACTACGTATCATTACTAATGTTTAGTGCCGAATGTGAATACATCTACATTATCGTTATTAATTCGGTAATAATTTTGATTCGACGAAAATCTGAATCAAAATCAGATTGAAATTAGGTACGTACCATACAGTGCAGACCATAACGATAACGACGGAACTATCCCTATGTAAAGTACAGAAAAATACCTGGGGGCATATTTTCATATGAAAAATCATTATGTATAGTATATGTATAGTACCCTAGGTATTATACATATATACATATAGTTCAACACAATTATAAAACATGTACGAAGAATAAGTATACGAAGATGTAAATGATCATACGATTTTGTTAAAAATTTTCTGATTTACACTTTCGGAACGCCAAAATACCTTCGGTAGGAGACTTTATTCCCTATTGCATTTAATATTTAACACTTGGCATAATAACCTATCGTTATAGTAAAAATTGATCATAGAATCAATTATTAAGGTTAACGATGATCACTCTTTATATTAAAATGAGAAAAAAAAATAACATTTATATAACCTTTTGGTAATAATATTACGTATATGATTTGATACGTAATCAGTTACTGTAATAATCTTGTAACAATCTTGTAACAATCCTGTAACAATCTTGTAACAATCCTGTAACAATCTTGTAACAATCTTGTAACAATCTTTGTGTATATTAGAGCAACTTTGAAATTTTTAGTACAGTATAAAAAGGAATGAAATCTTACACTTAAAGAGAAATTACATTTAGAAGTTAAGTCCATATTACACTATATACATTGAGCAAAAAGACTTGCGTTTAGAGAGAATTTTATTAGAGTTGAATTTAGGGATCATACGTTTACGTAGCGAGAATCGACTGTAATTAGAATAAGAAATCCATAACTCGATGTATTATTTGACATCTGTTTTTAGGATTTTATCCTTCAATAATATCTTAAAATAATATCTTAACGATATGATTTTGAATAGAGATCAAATAGTAATTTCATCAAGTAGTGAAATTATTTTACGATTCTAGTTTCAACAAATTTATAGTATAGATTATAGTATAGATGTACAAATCTCAAAGAACTCTTGTGTACATTTATAATTGCTTTTACACTTGCTGAATATGAAGAGATAATGAGTGAAATAAGATAATAAAATTTGTAGAACAACATTACCAAGATCAGTATATGTGAAATAATGGGCATGGGCGTTATTTCGAAAATCAGATTTGTTAAAATGGCGCATTTCATAACATATATTATTTATTTACATTACGTAGTAAATTTATAACAAATATATATCGATATCAAAACGATAAATACTTAGGCTCGAAATAAGTATATAGGCGTATTCGAGACTGCGCGCGGGCGGACATTATTCGCGATCTCTATCCTCTCTATCCTCTCTATCCTCAAGGTTTCTTACAAATTAAGCATATGGCGCAGTACTATTGAAAGAGCCCGTGCCCGTGCCTGGCACTATGATTTAATAGCACGTACGTACGTACCCGTGCCTGAAACTTGCAGAATCCTAATACAAATTCATATATGCCGATCGTTTATTTATGCCTGAAAAAAAGTGAAATTGGGCTAAAAATTTTTAAGCAGTTCACACAACTATAAAACAACAGCTCGTTTTCTTAACTATTAAAAGCATAATTAATTACTAATCCAAAGGAGGATATTAGGCTTACACTGTAAAGCTTAAAACTCGTACAGGTAGATCCCAAAATTCCGGGTCGAAATTCGTGGTCGGCCGAACCGAAATTAACGAAATTAACATTTTATCGTTATTGTTACCATTAACAGCATTATTACAATAAAGACATTAAGTACGTACGTACGTATGTAAAAAAATATCCAACTGATAAATTTTGTTATACGTAGAAATAGCGGTACGTAGTCTGCTGATAATACTTAACAATACTTAACGTTAACGCTACTGTAATGCATGCATATCTTCGATGATTTCTGATCAGGAATTTTGGTGATTACCTTGTAAGATCATTTTCAGGCCTAGGCCTGGTCTAGCATTTTTTTTAAAAAAAAGTACATACTGCATTTGGCTTGGTCAGCCCAATTTAAAACATTAATCAGACCTGTCAAACTATCTCCGCCAACATACATACACATAAATATATATAAATATATATAAAAAATATATATATATAATTTCATAATCTGGTTTAGTTTAGCGTTACGATTCAGATCAATCCTGCCTTGGACAGGTTCCGGAATCAATGCAAGTCACTAGTTCGGATTTTACTTAAAACACAAGAATGTGTTAGAATGTGTTAATATGTTAATGTGTTAGGGTATCACAAAAACACACTAATAAAAC